TCATCTGCCAGGCTTAGCCTCAACCCTCATCTTTGTGTTACCACAAGACTTCAGGCAGTAGGAAAGTTCCTTTCTGCTCTAACTATAATTTGATTTCTGTGTATTAAGTGACACCATTTAGCAGCATGCAGCAGCTGAATCACTGCAGCAAGTTCCTGCAATTTTGAAAATATATTTAAAAAAAGACTAGGAATGTAGCCTTATTTGGACATATATTTTTACCTTTTGAGGTATTATGCTTTTAATTTATGAGCATCTAAAACTGAAAAAACACCTCTAGCATTGATACATAGCTTCCCTCCCAATACCAGACAGCAAAGAGACAGCAAATAATTAGAATTACTCTCTGAAAATAGACAGCTCTGGCCACCAGCCTGATGATTTCTCCCAGGTTTGCATTTTTCCTTTTGACAAAACAATGGTTTGGGAACATATCCATGAGGTAAAAATATAAGCATCATGGTTGGATGTACTTTGCTGAAGTGAAAAAAGTCCATGTACAGCTATGTTTTCTTTCAAGGCATGGTTTGCACACACCATAATACCGTAATACAGCAGCCCCGTGGTTTTTATGGTTGTTGTTTTAATAATAATAATAACAATAATAATAATAATAATAATAATAATAATAATAATAATATTGAAATAATAAAAGTTCATTCTGCTAGGTTCTTCCTGCATTCACTTTTCCAGCAGGAAAAGAGTAAATGAGCACCTTCTGTTCTTCAGGCCTGCCCTGTTTGTTGACTGTAGAACTTTTTTGTTCTTGTCCAAATTACATACTTAAGCAAATATAAAATTAAAATATGATATTGAAAAGTATATAAAAATATAAAAAGTATAAAAATATAAAAAGTATATAAAAATATAAAATTATGACTTTTGCTTTAGATATCTTTTCAGCTTAGGAACTTTCAAAAATAGTGCTCCTGGAGGAGTCTTTTTATGTTTTCCCTATTGTTTTTTTCCTCAATAGCCATTATAGCTGCCCACACACCACCAGGAGAAACTGCATCTTCCCCTTCCACTGTGAGACCCTTCATCCTCTCCTCTTGGAAGAGAACCTCCAGAAGGCAATCTCAGCTGAGTGCAGAAGTATCCTGCAATAAAGTTCCCACTTGAAAACAGACATTCCATTGAAAGGGAACGGTCAAAGTTTTCCACAAGAGATGAGCAGACAGTTGTAGAAAGCAGTTCTGGAGCTCCCACTCCTCCACCTCAGGCCTGCAGGTGCCACGTGGAAAGGTCACTGATCCAGCACTGGCCACAGGTTAAATGTAGTGCTCCAGGGGATGCTGGTTTGTCTTCCAGAACAATAATGAGCTCTAAGTCTTCCTTACAAGACAGATCATAAAATCAAGAAGGTTTTGTGTCAGAAGGGACCTCAAAGATCATCTCATTCCAACCCCCTGCCATGGACAGGGACACCTTCCACCAGCAGCTTCCTCAGAGCTCCATCCAGGCTGGCCTTGGACATTTCCAGGGATGGGGCAGCCACCAGATCCTTCTCTGGGCAACCTGTGCCAGGGCCTCAGCACCTTCACAGAGAATTTCTTCCCAATACCCAGTTTAAGTTATTTCCCATTGCTCTGTCACTACCCTGTCCTTGTGAAAGTCCCTCTCCAGCTCTCTCCTAACTGGAAAGCTGCTGGAAGGTTCCCCAGAGCCTTCTGCTCTCCAGGCTGAACAAGCCCAATTCTCAGCCTGTCCTCACAGGAGAGGTGCTGCAGCCCCCTGAGCCCCTCATGGCCTCCCCTGCTCTCAGTGCAGCAGCTCTGGGCCCTCTGACTGCTGGGGAGCCGGGGCTGGATGCAGAGCTCCTCTGGCACCCCCAGGGCAGAGCAGAGGGGCAGGATCCCCTCCCTGCCCTGCTGGGCACGTTTGGCTCTCTGGGCTCTCACTGCTCACTGCCAGGTCCTGCTGAGCTTCCAACACCCCCATCCCCTCTCCTCAGGGCTGCTCTCCATCCATCCATCCATCCATCCATCCATCCATCCATCCCATCCATCCATCCTCAGCCCAGGCTGTGTTTGTGCTGGGATTGCCCCAGCCCAGGTGCAGGGCCTTGCACTGCCAGGTCCTGCTGAACTCCATGAGGTTCTCCTGAGCCTCTCCAGGCTGTCAGTGTCCCTCTGGATGGATCCCTGCACACACTGAGCGTGCTGTTGGCAGCTTGGTGTCCTCCATCCAACTTTGCCCAGGCTCCACAGCAAAAGCAATTTAACAGAGCAATCTTTATTTGTTAAGGTAAGCTATAAATAACCCATCTTTTCTCATTAAAACTTGTGAAAATCAGTTCTACCCCCCAGCTTAAATAAAATAATCATGAATAAGGGTAAAGAAACTATTTTACAGGCAGTTTAGGCAGCTGTAGAATTTTAATGCCAAACCTGAAGTAATGTTACTATTAAATAAATTTTCCATTTACCAATGCAAGCAGTTTTATTTTATGATCAGTCACAGAAGTTACCATATAATTTCTTATATAATATACATTCCCAGTGCTTATGCCCTTAGAGTAAAAAGTTGCCTTTTTTTGGAAGACTGTATGAACAGAAATGCTCTCCAATGTTTAAAATACTTTCTAAAAAGCAGCATGTATATAGTTCTGTAGGTTTTACCAGAGGTGTATAATTTTTCAGCATTACATCTTAATGCCAGTTTCCTGAAGGAGCTTTGACTACAAAAGGCATGAATATATTTTCAAAGGATGATGGATAAATTGGTGGGTGGTAATATAATATATCTTAGGCAGCTGATCAGGGCTTTTTATCCTCTGCCTGTCTTTTAGTTATACACAATTTCAAGATAATTATGGTCTATAAGAATGTCTTTTCCCCTTCCTACTACCAGCAATATTTGTCTTGGTTATAGGTTCAAGAAACTTCCAATCACATCGCCAAACTGGAATAGGGCAATTATGGCATTTCAGCAGAGAGCTGAACATGCAAACAGACTGACCACACCACATGGACATTTAACATGGACACAGTATGGACAGTTAATGAACTGCCTTTATTAATTACACCAGCTAATTAGATACTGGCTGTGGAATGTATTGAATCCATACTTGAATTTTACAAAGTAAAACCCAAGCCTAAGGTGTAATTCAGGTTGATTTCTACCATGTCTGTGTTGCTTTTCCAGTAAAGAATACAGTCCTATCAGATACTGAAAATAAATTAATTACTAATCTCATTAATTGAAGTGCAATGGTCAGATAGGCTTTATTAAAATCCCAACACTGTGGAGTCATCCAAATCCCAAGCAGCTCATTTTTCTGACAGGAGAGATCTTGAAGCACCTGAAGGTGAGGGTTACTTCACTGACACAGGACAAATCAGAGAAATTAAATTAACTCTGCTGTGCCTTGTTTGCTAAACAAAGTTAGTGTTGCACAGCCAAGGTGAGGGTGAACAGCACAGACAAGAATATTGCTGGATACACAAGGGCACAAAGGGAGGCAGAAATCAAAACAAGATGATGTTCATACAGCAATATTGTCCCTGGATTTATTGTCTCCTGTGGCAGCCCCACCACAGAGTCACAACAGAGGAGTGAATGCAGCATTCCTGCCTAGAGCCTGCCCCTGGAAATTAAGAAGGAAAATGATTCCATATCAGACAACAGAGCTGGGTAAGGCACAGCAAACTGACTGACTCCAGACTCAAAGTGGTACAAGGTGTATGGCAGATGTATGTAACAGAGTTATCACATAAAAGAGCCAGGAAAACCATGACAGGGTAAGAAAAACTGAATCAAAGGTGAATGAAAGAAAAATAGAATGTGCATTAGCTACTCCATTTCAAGAAAATTTAATGCAATGCAGTAAAAATACTAATTTGGATAATTAAATCTCAATGAGAAAAACAACTGCAACAATTGTGTTGTATCATTAGGGAGTCAATACTTGATTGTCAGTTATTTAAAACCACTTAATTAAAAAAATATAGCACATTCTTATGCAATTTGTACTTGAAAATCAAATTTTAACCTGTTTGCTTAACCTTTATTCTAAACCACAAGTGAGAAAAAATTTCACCCTTAAATGAACCTTCTTCAGGTTTAGGAGCACTAAAAAACTGATTTTTCACAAGCACAATAATTTAGTTTCATTAAGAATATATTTTTTTCCTGAATACTGAAGATAATGTTCAAGAGGTAAGGCATAGAATTTACCATCCCTAGGTAGGAAAACAGAAGAGCAATCATTTTGTCCAGAAATAGTCTCTGAAGACACTTAAGGAAATAGCCAGACTTCACTTGATGCAGAAGTAATCAGGAAATTATATGTTACTTCTGATATTAGGAAAACGCAGCCTTAGAAAGACATAAAATATTTAATGAAATTTTGCAGGATTATCCTCACACTTCAGCATTTTTTGCACTGTTGCTCAGGCTTTTTTCCCTTATGCAATTTTCTCATGACAGAAACTATCAGTGTTTGATTGGGAGTCCACTGAAGTCTGGAGGGATCCTTTCTGTGTGACCTGATCCAAAGCTGACCAAGTTCCCTAGCACAAAAAAGAGTCAGAAGGAAATGTAAGTGTAAAGGAAATTGTAAAGATGTTCAATGATGTTTCTATTTTCTACAGGAAACTGCAATAAATATCCACACAAACTGTACACTGTTTCTACCACAAAATACTGGAGGCAGCTTAACTACTCTTCCTCCTGGGCAGGGGGAAACTGTAAGCAGTTGGGTTTACTGAAACCATCCCACTAAGCCAGTGGAATAAAGAAATAAAATAAAGAATAAACAGGTTCCAAGCCTGATTTGGCCTTGGGAGGATCTTACTCCACTGTCCATGGATGGGAGGTAGAGACCTGAATTTAATTCCCAAATCTGGCTAGTGTAAATAATCCTGTACTTCCCAACACATTCTTATGAATCACCAAGATTAATTCATTTCTTGCTACACAATATGTACACTTTAAAATGCATTTAATTCATCACGAAATTACAGCTTTACTCAGCAAAAGCAATGAGTCTTATTTACCTTCAAAATGTTGTCAGGATGCTCTTTGGCAGAAGCAACAAACAGGTCATGTCCACAGACAATTCCCTCTGCGAGAAAATACTTGAACAACAAATTGGAGTAAAGGCCATATTTATCCTCCTCTGTGAAAACAAGAACGGTTGGATTTGTTTTTGTTAGATAAATTGCCCACCTGTAGGTTCACAACACTGTAAAAGGCCTCTTTGGGTCTATCTCCTGGAGTATAGAATTTACAACAGAGATCAAAGGTAAAATAGGACTCCAAAACTTTTAAAATAATGCTTGATAAGACTGTATTTCAAATTTTTCAAGCCAGAGGAATAATCCTCAATCAGGCATTTGATTCTAAGATATGGATGGGACACAGCCTCCTTACAGGCCTTCCCATCAGTATCAACTAAGATGGCTGAATTTATGGATTAATGGCAAGGGGCTCCTTAATTTAGGAGAACTATGTTAACATCTATATTCCTAGTGCTTAAAACCTGCTTAAAATGTTTGTTACCTGCTGCTTTTCAAAATTCAGCCATATTTGGCATGCTAAGCCTATACAGAGGTAACATTCAGAATAGAGACGTTGTTATGTCAGCATTTATTCCAAAGTTGTGAAAACTACAAAAACCAAATGGATGTATTGAAGAAACCAAACAATTAGCAATGCTTTTTTTGAAACCTAACCAATGCAAATTCAGAACAAATTCAAAATTCAAAAGACTCATGAATTTGCATTTTAAGCAGTGAGACAATGCTTGCGAGCAGACACTGTGAATACTGGCCTGCTGAAATGAAAACACAAACTCTGACTCCAGAGAGAGCAGCATTTCCTTCAGCTTCCCTGGTGCAAGTTAAGTGTCAGAAATTAGCAGAATTAGGAAGTCTTAATGAACTCATACAATTAAAACTCAGCATAACTTCAAGCTGTGGGGAGTGGATGTGTGCACAACAACTGAAATCTGAACCATCTCTGATTTTTTTGTTCTTTATTTGTAGGAAGTACAAACAATAGCACTGCTAATGCTTTTTATGGTTTTTGGGAAAAAAGTGAATGGGCTACATTAGGTTTCACTTTTTCATCTCTTAATCTGGCAGCTGAAAGACAACACACAGGGATGCTAAGGCAGAAAAACACAGAGAGATATTTCTTTATACAGAACAAAAAACCCTCAATTTATTATTTGTGTGACTTGGAAAATATTCCCTAACTACACATTTAAAATAGTAAAATTAAAAAAAAACAGTAACAAAGAGAGAAAATGAAAAAGGCATTCATATCCAACTTGTAAAAAACAGTGAAGAGGAAAATAAAAATACTCTAACTTTGACATGTACCGCAATCAAAATGAATCAATGGAGTGAAGGAGAAAAGGAAAGGAGGAAAGTGCATATCCATGAAGGAAAAGGAAAACCAATAGCAATGGGGAAACCTAGGAAACAAATCACAGGGAAGTGTTCTTGCACGGCTACACTCCTAATATCTTGCACATGCACTGCTCAGTTCTCAGATTAACAAGAAATTCAAACCACAAGTGCTCAAAACCACTGGAGAAAACCCAGTTCTCCAAGATATATTCCCCAACCTCCATGGGATGTTAGGCAACACACAATTTATTTCCTGCTTTTTTAAACTTCACTGTTAAATTCAGTATTTGGGATAGTAGAGTCACTAGAAGTTAGTCTAAAGCAGTAGCTCAAAACAGAGAAAAATGTTTCATAATCCAAGCACTAAGACAGGAAATGACATAAATCTGGATATCCAAACAAGCCAAAGGGAATACAATAACTACAACACTCTTACTACTAGTATACTAGCTACTCTGCAGTTTGCTGTAGAGTTTTAGGCTTTTAAGAACTTAAATTGCATTAACAGAACTTACCTTTGATACTGCTGACCTGCTTAGGAGGCCATATTAGCCTTAAATGTACTTGCAATAACACACTGACTTTTTTTAAAATTTTTAATAAGAGTCTTATGATAAATATGGACAGTTCTGAATCACAAAAAGCATAGGACTGACAAAACCTTACTGGTGACAGTACTGGGTTCCTTGTCAAAAGTTCATCAGGATGGATTTCCAAACTGCAATTTACTTGAGAATTTGGAGCTTTTAACTAAATATAAGATCCAGTTTATTCTTTCATCCTTATAAAGCCATTATTAATGTTACTGAAGAACTGCCTTCCTAACTCAGTGATAAGACTGGGGATGTAGAGCCAGCTATGAGACTCAGGTGGACACAAGGCTCAATCAGCTAAAACTGAAACACTCCCACTGCAGAAACAAAAGGCAGAACTGACACTACCTAAGTTTTGAGGAAGTATTATGGTCATATTTTGTAAATAGTCTTTGTAGCCTGCTTAAATCTTAAACTGTTTCAAGAGGGAAATAAAACCCCATTGCTGAATAGGTGTCCCTTGTAACTGGAGTCCAGACCACTGACAGCTCCTGCCCCCTCAAACATTGGCTCTCTCTGGTCATTCTTACTGCTTTATCCTCAGTAATATATTATTCACACTACATTGATTTCCATGTGCTAATCTCCAACTATGAAGCTCTCAATTTACGAAGCAAAGACCTCCAGAAATCAAAGTGGCAGCATGAGCTCTACATTTTTTTTTGTTTTAAATTGTCTGAGGTACCTGAAAGAAGCCACCCAGGCTCCCCTGTAATCACATCACTGTGGCAGATGTCACTGGAGGGAGACAATTTTGTTAGATCTCTCTCCCTTTGAACAAGAGAGGAAAAGGAACACTCGTCAGGCACTCTGGAAGGATCCTCAGCTGCAACATTTACATCATCCTTGCTGAATGAAAAATCTTGGCTTCTCAATTTTTAACCACAGGTTAAAGTTCGCCTTCTTCACCATCTGAGGCACAGAAACACTGAGTTGATATGTATTTAACAGACATTTAATGGAAAAGAAGAAAATGTCTCATTTAGTCCAAGTGTTTTATGGCTTGAGTCTGTGTGTACAACTATACAGACAGTCTTTCTGGATTATCATTTTTGATATTAATTATTCCTTAGAAAGTAAAGAATGTACTCAATTTCTTGTGCCAAACATAACAGAGAAACTCTATAAACCATGGATAAATACAAGAAATCATATGATGTGTTGGTGATCATTTAACTAAGCTAAGAAGAAATATGGCTGTAATAGTTAAAAAGAATTTTTCTCAAATTTTATTTGAAATGCTGAAATGTTAAAACATATTGTAGAAATAAAGCCATGAAGAACTAGTATATAAACATTTTAAATGACTTATTGAGATTCTAATTAATTTTGTTGATTCATTGATTTATTTGTAATTTAACAGGGCTAGAGATGTTCTTACATTGCCACACTCTTCCAAAACATATTTTCCAAAACAACAAGGAATGTTCAAGTTAGCAAATTAAAAACACATTCAGTGTAAGGGCACATCATTTTAACATAAGCCTTTCCCTTCTTCTTAAATTTTCATTAGAGTAAACTTGCAGTAAAAAAATTAAATTAAGGATTGGAAAGTGATCTAAATATAAACCACCTCATAGCTTCCTACAGGACTCTGAGGATTAGATGTGTCTCAGAAAGCCTTTACAAACAGTCTATCTGGAATTGTTAAAGTCAATGCATCTGTAAGAATCCCTCAGTTCTTCAATTTGTCAGCTAGAGGATGCTTTTTATTGATTCATTTCTAGGTCACTAAACTTTTGTGGTATTCAAAAGATCTAAAGTGCATCCATATGGGGCTTTTCTGATAGCATCCATTGTACCCTGCCTTCAATAGTTACATTCAAAACCAAAGGAGCACGGCTTTCTTCTTTTAAATAAACAAACAAATCACTTAGCACAGGTACTTCAGCAGCTCGCTGATGCCTTCCACAGAATCCCAGAATAAACACTTTCCTGAGAATGCTTGGATTTAGCATTTGAATGACTAGGACAAATTTTCAGCTGTTACCTTTATCTTTCCAAACTCCTCCACATGCAGAAGAACCACCTTCACTCAGGACATGCAGGAACAACACTTCAGATTGTTTTAGGCGATACCTAGGACAATCCTGGCCCAAGAGAGGCGGTCTTTCATTGTGAGCTTCACTTCCAGCTACCAAGGCACAGGAACAAATCAGGCTCCTGCAGCTGCAGCCTTTTCTGGGTGCAGCCCCCACCAGTGACACACAGCACTGAGCAGCTTTCTGCCATTCTTTTGGAACTAAGAGTGTTCTCCAGCTAAGCAGCAGGTGAGTAGCTAGTGAAGCATGAAACTACACAAGGAAAAGAGATTATTTACCTAGAAGTTACACATATTGTATCCAGGACAAAAGCTCCTCTGATCCTGCAATAAGGACATAAATAAAATAGTCTGTTGTGACTATCCATGGGTCTCTTAGCACATGAGTGTGCTTTCCTGGCTGGAACAGTCATGGAGAAAGAGCAGGACTGTCACTACAAGCACAGGGAATTCCATATAATATAATATATATATTATATATTATATATATATAATATATATATATGTAAAATATATATTATATATATTATATCTATATAAATAAAAATATAATATATAATGTATTATATAATATATAATATATATAATTCCATATAATATACATAATATAATACAAAATATATAATATATAATATATATAATTCCATATATTTATTATATATATTATTATATATATATAATATATTTTATATATATAATATATATAATTCCATTCATCATATAACCCTATAGCTGAGCACTAAGGATAAAGAGCAATTCCTGTTTAGGGGTTTTTTCAGCACTGCACTGCATAGGCTACTGTGGAGTCTTTGCTTCTTTTTTTTTTTTAGGGTTGGCATTAAATAAAATTAAATTAAATTCTTGTTGGGACTCAGATATTTATTAGTTTTCATTTATATTACAGTCTTACAAACTGTGAGTTCTACAGCACTTCACTCAAATAACCTAAAAATGGAGCTGTATCTCTCTCTACAAAGCCTTTTAAGGATAAACTGTCCAGTTAGGAAATTACACCTAAACTATTTTTACTTTTAACCCAATAACTAACTACTCAGCTGCAATGTGCACTTTTTTATCTAATTACACAATATTATCCAAACCCATGGAGAAGGTGAAGAAGAAGGACCAG